AATGTATCTGGGTCTGCTGGAATGAGGAAGAATCTTGGGAGGCCATGAACATACTTTCAGTGAAGCACTTTAGTTGAGCGACAGGCAAATGCCATTGGCATTCGATCCTCTGGATACAGTGGAATACCAGTTCTGGTGCCATCAGACAAGAACAGACAGATGGGACCGCATAATGATGCAGCTGTGGGGCAATCAGCAGTGTCTGCAAAACTTTTGCATATGTAAGGTCACTTTCATTGAAGTTTGCACATTGCTTTCCTCTGCCCTGAAGTGCAAGAATACCAGAATGACACTCACTCTGACAATGGAGAAATGAGTGGCAGTTGCCCTGTGGACTCCTGCAATGCCAGAGACTACTGGTCAGTTAGGAATCAGTTTGGTGTGAGGAAATCTACAAAGGGAGCTGTTTTGATCCAAGTATCCAAGAAAATCAGTACCCTTTTGCTACAGAGGGTTATGATTCAGGGAAACGTGGATGACTTTGTCACGATGGGGTTTCCTAACTGTGGCGGGGCAATAGACAGAATGCACATCCCTATCTTGGCACCTAACCACCTTGCCAAAGAATACATAATCCACAATAGATGGTACTTGTGGTGCTGCAGGAGCTTATGGATCACAAGGGCCATTTCACTGACATCAATATGGGAGAGTTGGAAAAGGTGCACGACACATGCATCTTTAGGGACTTCTGCCTTGTCAGAAAGCTGCAAACTGGAACTTTCTTCACAGATCAGAAAATTACCATCAGAGGCACTGAAATGGCAATAGTGATTCTTAGCGATTCAGCCTATCCTTGCTCCCATGGCTCATGAAGCCATATATAGGCAGCCTGGACTACAGTAAGGAGCAGTTCAACTAATGGCTGAGCAAGTACATAATGGTGACAGAATATGCTTTTTGGCATTTAAAAGGGAGACTCCACAGTCTACTGACTAGGTTAGACTTCAGTGAAAGCAGCATTCCCATTTTAATGGCAGCCTGCTATGTCTCCATAATACTTCATAGTCAGTATCCATAATAGAGGGAGAAAATTTGTTCTCCTTGGCCTCTGATGATAGGACAAGAAGCAATGGGCTTAAATTTCAGCAAGCGAGATTTAGGTTGGACATTAGGAAAAACTTTCTAACTGTCAGGGTGGTTAAACACTGGAATAAATTGCCTAGGGAAGTGGTGGAATCTTCATCACTGGAGATATTTAAAAGCAGGTTGGATAGACAGCTATCAGAGATGATCTAGACACTGCTTGGTCCTGACATGAGGGCAGGGGATTGGACTTGATGATCTCTCGAGATCCCTTTCAATTCTAGTATCCTATGATTTCTTACTCACTGGAGTAGGAAAGTTATATGGTGGGGGTCAAGGCATAGTGCCTAACGTAATTATGAGCAGCCAGACACCAGGCCAGTAAGGAGAGCATAATGAGGGGCACTGCAATCAGAGAGGCTTTGAAAGACAGTTTTATGATAAGCCAGATTTGAGTGTCATGCATGTTGCTAATGATAAGGTGCCCCTGCATTCAGTGTGCTTGCCTGTAAGCCACCTCTCCCTACTACCTCCCCCACAATGCGAGCAATAAACAGACTGTTCAGAAATCATGTTTTTTATTTAAGGAACACAGCAGGGACAGATAAGGAACTCATGGCAAGAGCTTGTGCAGGGAGGGGTGATCACAATTGTGAGAAGGACAGCCTTTTGCTTTGGGATGCATCCCTGGAGGTTGAGTGTGAGGCTGTCCTTGACTCTCCCCTCTGCTGCATTATACAGCTCCTGGGAGAGGAAGCTATGGAACTTGGTGAGAAAGTACTATGGACCCACAAGTGCTGGAGGGGGGGCCTGTGCATGAAACTGTCCTTGAAAGCCACTGTGCGGTTCATCACATCCACTATGTCTCCAAGACTCTGTTTGTTCACTTCCAGCTCCCTTCATGTTTTCCTGTCCTCACACTACGTTCTCATCTCCAGCAGCACCATAGTCCTCCACTTGCTTAAGCGCTCCCTGTCCAAGTGGGTGGATTGCATTTGCTCCTTGAACATGTCATCCCTAGTCCATTTTCACGTGAGGATTTGTACCAGCTAGACAGCTGGTGGAGCCGGTGGACTGTGCAGCATGCTCCTTGCTGTTCCCACTATAACAAAAAGTGAAGGGCAGACTTTACAGGAGTTGCATTTTAGCGTGTAAAACCTAATCTGTTAGCATAAAAGGAAGGTCTGTGTAGAAACAATAGGGATGTGTAATGTATAAAGCCATAGTTGTGCTTTTAATCACCTCTGTGCAGCAGGCCCACCACTGAGTTTTTAGGGGAGCAGCTAGACTTGGCTTGGTGGCAGGCATGGTAAAGGACAGGCTGGGACTTGAGCTTGTGGGAGAGAGGAGTTCTGGGCATGGTGAAAGGGCAGGAGCTCACACAGTGACCATGTGTTTGGCTCCCCCTGTTTGCCAGGAGAGTGCAACTTTCCCTTCCCGTGGAAATATGTGGGCAGGAAGGGGATAGGGTCCAGGCATGGCAGCAGGGCAGGGATGCAAGCGATGCTTTATTGGGGATGAGAAAATGGAGGTTTACTGCAGAGGCATCAGCTAATAGCTTCCCCTAGGTTGCCATGCAAAATGTCATAATCTCTGAATCTCACAGAGTGATGGAGAGCAGATGCTGACTGATCGTGGCTAGAAACCTGGACCTTATGCTGAGATGCTTTGTAGTGCAATGACCACTTACTGCTGGCTTGGCATAAAGAGGATGAATAAGGCAAGCCTCCCCAGAAACCTTGTGAGAAGGATTAAAGAGTTCCTCTGTGAGAGTGTTATGGAAATATGCAGAGAGCATTTCTACTCAGTCTCCAGACACATTAACAAGTTGTTCAAAGGGCCCCCTACCAGGTGTAAGTATAGTGGCCACCACAGATCATACTCAATTGCCTTCACCCTCCTGTATCATTATAAAAAAAGTGACCTCCTTTTCCTCATCCATGCTGCTGCTCAAGGCTGTCACAGGAGTGTCTTGGGAGGAATCTGCAAACTAGCTAGAGAAGCTGGTCCGTCCCCTCTTTAGGATAGCATGCAGCTGCTTATAGAAGTGGCATGTTTGTGGCGATGATCCGGGCCATCCGTTTGTCTTCTGGTACAACTGCCTCAGGTCCTTTATTTTCCTTCGCCGCTGTTGGACATTCCTGGTGTATCCTTTCTCCTCCTTTGTGATCTTGGCATAGATATCTGTGTTCCTTTTGCTGGTTCATAGTTATGCAAGAAATGATTCCTCTCCCCACACAGCATTGAGGTCCAGGATTTCCTGCATGCTCCTTACTAGTGCTCATGTGCAGCCCTGGGAATTTATGGTTAGGTGTGCTACCATGCTGGCAACACAGGAAATGAAATTCAAACTTTCCCAAGGCTTTTCCTGTTCACCTGGAGAACAGTAGATTTGAAGGTCCTAGCCAGAGCAGTCACTCCAGAGCACCGTGGCACGCCTCTTGGAGACCAAGAACCTTTGTCTTTCACAGCAGTAAGTCTATAAAGTCAACCATGCAAGGTCAAATTTATCATTACCCCCCAAGAAAAGGTGGAGTACCTATATCAAATTTAATTACCCTTAAGGTCGACGGAACGGGCTTGGTGACGTGGACTCGTGGTTTAGAAATTCGACCTAATGTGACTGTTTGACCTAATCTCCCAGTATAGACCAAGCATTTTATACATTAGGAAACTGGTTCCTTTATGTAACACTTAGAAGATTTACTTGGCATTATTCAAGTCCTTAACTCAAACAAGTTTTGTTTTTCTTTGTTTTTAAATCACTGTTCTCTTCAAGTGATTGTTCACATCGATTCCAATTCAGGTGTATGTGCGCTGTGTACACAAACATTGGAAATTTCCTCCCTACCAGCTCCCATAGGGTCAACTGTGGAGACCCCCTAGAGTGGCACCACTATATATACCACTGCTGACCCTACCCTCCCTCAGTTCCTTCTTACCATCTGTGGCGACATTGGAACTGTAGCTAGCTCTTGCTTAGCAAGTGCCTAGTCCCTAGCGGTAGCTCTCCTTTTCCTAGTCTTCACTTTGTTTTCCTCTGATAAGGATCTTCAAGCAAATAAAAGGACTGTGGACAAGTGCCCAAGCGGTTAGCCTCCTGAGACTCTGGGGCATGCTTAACACCCCAAGTTTTAAAGTTTGCCACCACCATATGCCCAATAGCAATCCACCCAACCTATGCTGCCTGGGTGAAGAACATCACACTGAATCTGTTGAAGTTTTAAGCCCTGCACTAGAAAGGACAGGGAGCATAGGCTTCAACAGCTCCTGATGTAGGTGGCATTAAAACCCCTTCAGGCCAAAAAATCAGCCCTGGGAGCCAGCTTGGTGTGCAGTGCCCCCACCTCTGTGAGACACGGCACAGAAGCCAGGCACAGCAAAAGACTCTTGGTGCCGGGGTTTCCCGGCACTGAAGACAACAATGCCGAGACCTAGATCTACCACACTGGCACAGTTGGGCAGGAGAGGATAGAAGGTAGATCCCCTCAGAGGCCCTGACAAAGACAGGACCATGCCCAGAGGAAATCCCCTGTGAGTGAGGTCCAGGACGTGCTGTTGACTCTGGCTCCAGGACCAGTGCCATTGAGTCCAGCACATGACCATCCACCGAGGGACATGAGCCCGGTGCAGGTCTTAAACTCCCCTTCAATGTTGGACACCTTCAAAGTGGCCAGAGACCTGATAGAAATCTCGGAGGCCATGGTACACAGCAAACCACAAGCACTACTGGGACTACATCGCTCAAGGGGAAAGACAGGTATGCTCCATTGACCACAGTCCATGGAGCAGTACCAGGACACATCGTCTTCCTCAGAGGGTCCCTTGACACCAGCACAATGTTCCCTACCACTGGCATGGGGAGAGATTCTGGCTTCGAGTGCTAGAGTGGCACTGAGGGATTGGCGTTCAACTCAGAGATCGGTCTCCAGGTCAAGGTCATGATCTAGAAGTCCGAGGTGCCACTCCCCTTCCAGGCTTCCTCGGCCCTGGTCAGGATCCCAGACAAGATCCCAACACTCGGCACCAGCATCAATGGCACCGCTGTAGTCATCCCAGTCAGAATCGGAGTCAGATACAGTGTCGGACAGGCCTCGGCACAGCTGATCTCAACGCAGCACAGGAGACCAGCTGGTACTGTAGCAACAATATTGGCCACCGCCAGTGCAATGGCCCTTCTGGACTCCTTGGGTGTATCATCAGTCCCAGAGTGCTCCTCGGTCGTTGGCTACATGAGTCATAGATCCCATTCATACAGGCACCACTCGAGGACACCATCTGCAGTGGAGTCCCATCCACCTAGAGTGGACAGTCCACCTCCTGAGGCTAGGGAACAGCCACCAGGGAAAGGCCATCGGGTGGGCCCCCAGGACAGAGCCTAGTTACTGGTGAAAGACGCTGCCCAGGCCAATTCATCATCCTCCCAATATGAAGCAGTGGCGGCCCCCTCCTATGGACCACAGGACATATCAAGAGTTGCTGCACAGAGTGGTGCGGAATATAAATCTCCTGATGGAAGAGATACAGGAATCTGAGTACCCAATGGTGGGCATCCTCTCACATGAGGGGGCCCTTCCGGGTGGCTTTGCCAATCATAAAGACAATACAGTCAAATTACACGACCGTGTGGCAGACCCTGTTCTCTATCCTTCCAGCAGCTAAGGTGTCGAGAGGAGGTACTTTGTTGCACCTAAGGGTTATGAGTCTATATACTCTCACCCTCACCCCTCGTCTATTGTGGTCTTGTCAGTCAACAAGAGGGAGAGACAAGGTCGGCAGGCTCCGGCCTCCAAGTCGAAGGAGATACAGTCAAATTACACGACCGTGTGGCAGACCCTGTTCTCTATCCTTCCAGCAGCTAAGGTGTCGAGAGGAGGTACTTTGTTGCACCTAAGGGTTATGAGTCTATATACTCTCACCCTCACCCCTCGTCTATTGTGGTCTTGTCAGTCAACAAGAGGGAGAGACAAGGTCGGCAGGCTCCGGCCTCCAAGTCGAAGGAGGCGTTTGCAGCTAAGGATTGCTAATCAGCAAGCAATCCTTAGCTAGTACAGCTTCAAATTGTGGGATGCCCTAGCAAAGTTTAAAAAGAGGTTGCCCCATGACAGCAGGCAGAAGTTCAGTGCCATGCTAGAGGAGGACTGCACAGTGGCTAGAACCTCCCTTCATGCGGCCCTAGATTCCACAGATTCAGCAGCACGAACTCTCTTAACGAGGGTAGCCATGTGCTGGTCTTCATGGCTTCAGGCATTGGGCCTCCCCCCAGAGGTCCAGTCTACATTGCAGGATCTCCTATGTGAGGGCAGTAGTCTATTCTCAGAGAAGATGACAATAAGCTACACTCCCTCAAGGGCTCCTGGGCTCTTGAGGTCCCTGGGGATGCATTCCCCGGCCTCCCAGAGGTGTTCCTTCTGCCCTCAGCCCCCGCAGAAGAGGTTTGCGCCCAGACAATACCGAGAGCAGCAGCATAGGCGAAATAGGGTTCTCCTCCTATTATTGTTCTGTCACAACAGAATAACCGGGGAATAGCTCCCGCATAGGCGAAATAGGAACAATAATAGGAGGAGAACCCTGTCACAACAGAATAACCGGGGAATAGCTCCTCCCAGCCTCCCCCAGGCCTCAAACAGGCTTGTTGAAGGTGTACCTGAGGGCAGAGCACCAGACTTACTGAATCCGTTCCCCTTCTTTTCGGTCCGTTTATCCTGCTACTACCATGCATAGGCCACAGTTACATCAGACTATTGGGTCCTCCGCATGGTTGGAGTGGGATACTCCCTGCCGTTTGCTTTTCTTTATCCCTCTTCAGGGACCCTTCTCACAAGCATCTCCTAAAACAAGAGGTCAAATCACTCCTAAAGGCAGGTGTGATTCAAGAGGTCCCTCAGGGTTTCAGGGACAAGGGTTTTTATTCCCGTTACTTCCTTATCCCAAAAGCAAAGGGTGGCCTGAGGCCTATTCTAGACCTGAGGAACTTAAATCATTATATGCGAAAAATGAAGTTCAGAATAGTCACCCTAGCCATTATAATCCCCTGTCTGGATCTGGGAGACTGGTTCGCTGCCCTCGACATGAAGGATGCATTTCGATCCTTCCTTGTCACAGATGTTACCCTCAGGTTTACAGTAACGAGAGAGCACTACAAATTTGCGGTACTGCCCTTTGGGCCTTTCTTTGGCCCCATGAGTATTTATCAAATGTATGGCAGTGGTAGCAGCCTTCCTCTGAAAGAGGGGAGTGCAGGTATTCCGTTACCTGGACGACTGGCTGATAAAGGCCCACTCCAAGCCTCAGCTCATGACTCACATAGACATCTCCCTGAGCTCTTCGAAGTGCTGGGTATCCTGCTTAACAAGGAGAAGTTGGTGCTGAACCCAGTGCAGAGGATAGAGTTCATAGGGGCAATTTTAGACTTGATACGAGGGAAAGCACTGTTGCCGGATTTCGGGGCCCAGAGCAATTAGAGGAAGCTGAATACTAAATTTGGTGATCTTAACTCTTATAGTTTAGGAAGAGTTCTTGAACAAATGAACTCATAGACAAACAGACAGATGCACATTTCTAAAAATCCCAGATGATTGGAAAAAGGCAAATATAGGCAAACTATAGGCCGGTCAGTCTTACCTCGGTTCCTGGAAAAATCATGGAAGGGATCCTTAAGGAATCCATTTTGAGACACTTGGATGAGAAGAAAGTGATTAGGAATAGTCAGCATGGATTCACAAAGGGAAAGTCGTGCCTGACCAATCTGATTAGCTTCTATGATGAGGTAACTGGCTCGGTGGACATGGGAAAGTCAGTAGATGTTATATACCTTGACTTTAGCAAGGCTTTTGATACGATCTCCCACAATATTCTTGCCAGCAAGTTAAGGGAATGTGGATTGGATAAATGGACGGTAAGTACCATATATGAAATGTCAGGATGGTGGTTGGTTTCTAGCGGAGTTCCTCCAAGGTTCAGTTTTAGGACCAGTTTTGTTCAATATCTTTATTAATGACCTGGATGAGGGGATGGATCGCAAACTTGCTGAGGGTGCAGATGACACTAAGCTGGGGGGAGAGGTAGATACGCTTAAGGGCAGAGATAGGGTCCAGAGTGACTTAGACAAATTGGAGGATTGGGCCACAAGAAATCTGATGAGGTTCAACAAGGACAAGTGCAGAGTCCTGCACTCGGGACGGAAGAATCCCAAGCATAGTTACAAGCTGGGGACCAACCAGTTAAGTAGTAGTTCTGCAGCAAAGGACCTGGGGGTTACAGTGGATGAGAAGCTGGATATGAGTCAACAGAGTGTCCTTGTAGCCAAGAAGGCTAATGGCATATTAGGTTGCATTAAGAGGAGCATTGCCAGCAGATCCAGAGATGTCATTATTCCCCTTTATTCGGCTTTGGTGAGGCCACATCTGGAGTATTGTGTCCAGTTCTGGGCCCCCCACTACAAAAAGGATGTGGAGCGGGTCCAGTGGAGGGCAACCAAAATGATTAGGGGGCTGGAGCATATGACTTATGAGGAGAGGCTGAGGGACTTGGGGCTGTTTAGTCTGCAGAAGCGAAGAGTGAGGGGGGATTTGATAGCAGCCTTCAACTTCCTGAAGGGCGGTTCCAAAGAGGATGGAGAGAGGCTGGTCTCAGGAGTGACAGATGGCAGAACAAGGAGCAATGGTCTCACGTTGTGGTGGGAGAGGTCCAGGTTGGATATTAGGAAAAACTATTTCACTAGGAGGGGGGTGAAGCACTGGAATGGGTTACCTAGGGAAGTAGTGGAGTCTCCATCCCTAGAGTCTCGGCTTGACAAAGCCCTGGCCGGGTTGATTTAGTTGGAATTGGTCCTGCCTAGAGCAGGGGGCTGGACTTGATGACCTTCTGAGGTCTCTTCCAGTTCTATGATTCTATGAAAACATATAATAAGATTACATGAAGGATAAACTGACAGTTTCTAATTTAGCCTCCACCACAATCTCATATAAATGTAATGAGATAGGAGTCTGGCTAGGACCCCTGCACGCTGTTGTCCTAAATTCAGACTGTGGTCTTGTGACCTCCTGCAAGTATTGCTGGCCCCTTTCAAGAGAGTATGGCTCTGCCCAACTTTCTGCTTTCCTGTACAGAACCCAAGCTACTTGCGTCCCAGACTTCTTTCTTCAGTCAGCTACCAAGCTGTTGTCTCTGGCATGCTGCTCCTACTTTCACTCAGCCTCCAGATTTCTTGACTCTAGTCCCTTCTTAGCTTTGGTTGTAGTTCTTTGTATGCTGGAGGGATTATGGGGCCCTTAGAGATTGGATAATGCATTACTGAACTAGTAAATTCACTACAAAATATTTTGTCCAGAACTTATTTAAAAAACAAAGTACTTCTTTTCTATGGCTCATAAATACAAAAGCTCAATTTTTAATCAGACTTTTCTTTAAGAATATTTTGCCTTTGTTGTTCTGAAAAATATAGTGGCTGTACATGATAGTAAACATATACAATTTTCAATCCAACTTCTATACTCTGACTTTAAAATCTGACCAAAAGTTGTTTTACATTTACACATCATTGTACATATCTATTTAGTTTACAAGTGCCATTTAGATGTTTCTCCTCTGTTTGAAAACAAAATTAAGAAAAATGTGCCAATAACTCTTATCTAATTAAAAATCACTAAGGGTATATATACACTACCACCCTAGTTCAAACTAGGGTGGTAATGTAGTCAACCGGAGTTGCAAATAAAGCCCGGGATTTGAATTTCCCGGGCTTCATTTGCATGTTGCCGGGCGCCGCCATTTTTAAATGTCCGCCAGTTCGGACTCCGTGCCCCGTGGCTACACGCGGCACGAACTAGGTAGTTCGGACTAGGCTTCCTATTCCGAACTACCGTTACTCCTCATTCCACGAACTACCTAGTTCGTGCCGCGTGTAGCCGCGGGGCACAGAGTCCGAACTAGCGGACATTTAAAAATGGCGGCGCCCAGCAACATGCAAATTAAGCCCGGGAAATTCAAATCCCCGGCTTCATTTGCAACTCCGGTTGACTACATTACCACCCTAGTTCGAACTAGGGTGGTAGTGTAGACATACCCTAACAGCTTTAAATGCCAACCACCATTTTCAATGAGAAAAAGAACTAATGTGCTTTACTTGACTTTCCTTCAACAGCGAATTTAGCAAAAATCCCCAGATACTATGTTTTATGGGAAATCAAGTAACAATCAGAAGAGCTGATGGCTCACTTATTCATCTCAATATATCACCTTATCCAGCAATTCTTCATGAGTATGTTAGTGGTTCAAAATGGGAGGATGCAGTCAGATTGTGTCGCTTTGTTAAGGTAATTTTTAATACTTTACATAATCTCGTAAATGACATTTGTTGCTTTTGTTTATATTTTCTTGTCATATGAAGTAATAGTAATTAAATATGTAAATATTCTAAATTTATTTTCTTTCTTTAAGCTGTTTCTTTACCTTATAGTTTTTTCTTATTTTAGTGCTGATTCAGAAAACACTTACACGTGACTAATTTTATTCTTGCAACGACATCAGTGGAGTTAGTAAAGTAGAGTTACTAATGAGCATAAATATTTTGTCTGGACTAGACTCTTAAGTAGCCAATTTTATAAAAAATGTTCTTCCATATAGTAATGTACAGTTTTAAAAAAATATTTCTCGCTTTTTATTTTCTTTTTCTTCACTTTCTTTCTGATAATTTAGACGACAATATCAGATGAGGTGAGTATTGTAGTGTACTTTTTTAAAAAGGCATTTTCCTCCCTCATTAACATTTATAAAGGAATTTTATCTTTTTTATAGTTATGATTTATAAACAAAATCATACCCTAAAACTGTTTTCTCTATTTTCTGCATTATTTGGGTCGAGTGATTAATATACATATTGAGCTAATTTGAGATACATTGTGATGCTTATATTGAGTTATTGCCCTTATCTGAAGGTGGATAAAAATATTTTTATTCCCATATTTGGGAACTGGCATTTATAATTTCAAATATAGCACTGACAGAAATTATGTTGCGTAAGTTCAGTGCACTAAAGTCTTACTTGCATTTTTTTTGTATTTTTTTTAATACTGGAAAAGCACACACATATATATACTATCTGTATATGCCCAAATATTTATAATATCTTTTCAATATGAATATAGCTATAGCTTCCCAGACAGAGGTTTTTGGCATTTATAACTTTTTCATGGTTGTTTACTAATTTCAAGGCTGGATTGTCGTATTTAATAACATTGGGAGAACTTGAAAGATAAATTGGTTAAAAGTTGCAAAGCTTTTTCCTTTCTCCCTCCTCTGGCTCTTTCCCCATCCCGCCTTCCTGTTCCCTTTCAACAGTCTTTCCTCAGCTGCCTTTACCTACTTACATGCAAGACAAGGTGCATATGGTAATACTGTTTATTTGTGAAAGAGAAGCTTTGGAGCTTGCATAGGTGGAGGAAGAGTTCTATGTAAGCTTAAAAACTTTTGTGTGGCTATGCCAAAAGGAGAGGAAACATTTGATATGGGTTTAATAAGGATGCAGCTTTATTATTAGATGTCTGGGACTACCTGACAAATAATACATACAGTGCAGAGAAAACCCTTGTTTTCTCACATAATTAACTGAGGAGGGAGTGCCTTTTCTAGCTCTTCTCTCCTTTTACGCCCAGATCCTTCCAGCAAATCCATTGTTGGGAACTTATGAACCACCCCTTTCATAGAAGGGGTAAAGGACTATAATGACAAGGGAGTAGCTCCATGCAGTACCACTCATAGGAGTCCCCAACTACCTCCAACTTGCTCAATTACCAGTCAACTTTACTTAAATTCTTTTCCAAGACATTTATCCATTAATGTATGCCATCTTTTATGGAGTACCTGCACTAAACATCTGCTATATACTTAAATAATGAGCTGCGACTTATGGCCTACTGCCTGTCATGTTGTGCGTGAACAGAGCCCATCTGAACCTGCTGTGGGAGAGCCAAAAAACCCAACTGCACCTAGACCAATATGGTGGAAAGGGAAAAATTCCTTCCCAGGCCCCCCTCAATGGGGTGGCTAGCGTAACGCCCACAGCAGAAATAGCTAATAACCTGGTATATTTACTGCCAAAATGGGGAGGGAGGGTGGGTGCTGCTGACTCTGCTCTGTGAATCAGAAAGGAGGGTCCTGGCACAAGCTGACCTTTTAAAGTCCCTCATTCCAGGGTGATGGGTCAACCATCACACTGACCCCTTCTCCAATAGTTTTGTGTTTTCCCCTTCTCCCCTAAAGCCATCAAGAATTGCTCTCTTTTTCCAGCCAGACCCATAAACCACCCACCAGCTTAAGATGCAGGATGGTGATACTCTGTCACCACCAGAAGTTGGTCCAAAATAAGATATTACCTTGTTCACCTTGTGTCTCTAATATCCTGGGACCAACACACCTCCAACACTAAATACTAGAGATGAGCAAGGTTTTTCTAAAAAGAATAGCTATAATTGTGTGTGTGTGTGGGGGGGGGGACTATTTACATTGTTTCAGAATTTGAATAGAGGGGGTATCTGGGGTTGTTTTGACAGTATGATCAAAAGTATCTTGCAGTTCTTTGGTATCTCAGTTCTTCTTTGAGTGCTCCTTGTAGGCATGTTAGATAGTGTGTTGTTAAATAGTTGTGTAACCGCATCAAATTTTAATGGCTACATAACTATTCAGTAGTCCTAGGGACGGTGCCAACAGCAGCAGCGGGGGGGCACTATATCAGAGGCTGCAGTGCGGGGCGGCAGCAGTCCCTGTCCGTGGGAGGAGAGGGTCCGAGCTCCCCACGGACAGTGTCTGCTCTGCGGCAGAAGCACCTGTCAATGGGGGGTCCACAGGGAACTCAGACCCCCATGAACAGGAACTGATGCCGTGAGCAGCCTCTGTCCACAGTGGGCCCAGGCTTGCCGCAGACAGAGGCTGTGCTGTGAGATGCCAGAGCAACCTCTGTCCACGGAGAGCGCGTATTCCCCCACAGACAAGGGCTGCTGCCGCAAATCACCCTCTGACTGCAGTGAGCCCACCCTGCTGTGGTCAGAGGCTGCTTCTTGGCAGTCTCCCCTGCTGTCCTCCCTCCCCCATACATGGTGCTGCCTCTGTAGGAGGCAGCAAGGGGGACAGGCGGGCTGCAGAGTTGGCACGGGCAGAGATCTGGCTCAAAAGCACACCCTGTAAATTCTGGGTATGCCAATGCAGTTAGCAAAACTGCTCTATCTCAGAAGATCGTCTTGGTTACAACAATCTTGCAGCTCACTGAGATGGAGGGTCACTTATTCACCCTATTCACTAGCCTAGGTTGCCCATCTCTGTTGTAAGCTGTGCACTTGTGCAGCCGTTTAGGTGAGATTCAAATGCTGCCCAGGTGATTAGCAGAGTGCCTATGGCTGGAGTTGTTGTTTCAACTGGTAGTGCACATTTGCACATCCCTCGGTACACATAAAATTTTATTCTGCATGTGGCTGGAAAAAATCACACATAGATGGAAAAGATTAGAAGGACCATTAGCACTAGTCACTTGGCACCACTCCCCATCACTGGTGCTGAAAAAGAAACCAAAGAAGGTGGACCACAGGCACTTTATAAAGATACCTCAGACATCCATAACAATTAGCACCAGTGACTCCTGTCCCAGGAAGGGTCTTTTAAGCCTGTTCCTTATGGACTCCTCACCTAGGTAAAGCCACAGAGGAAATACAGTCCTGCTATTGCCATCAACTCCAGAGGAATATGAGGCAGCAAATAGCCTCTAGGCCCTCCCAGTGCTGCCATCTCCTCCAAATCCTGGTCTGTTGGCAACAGTTCTTCATCGAGTAGTGTCCCCGAGGGTGCTCCACTTGAGCATTTTTGATCATATTGTCAAAACAACCCCAGATCCCCCCTCAATTCAAATTCTGAAACAATGTAAATAGCTGGGCTCATCCCGGCACCGCAAACCAGAGGAATTTTCTGTAGCAGTAGCCCCTACCGGACTGTGCATGCGCGACTGCCTCTTCGCACTTCTGAACTGAACACGGTCCAGTCCTATCCGTTTCTCTCCAACCATCCGCAGCCGCAGACGGAATTACATTAGGCTCCCTTTGCCTCTCTGAGGGGAAAGGGAGACATTAGGCTCCTTTTGCCTCTCTGAGGGGAAAGGGAGATCTCTTAGTTAGACTTTGTTTCTTGTTATTTGTAGATTAGTTGTTTCAGTTATAGTTGTAGATTAGTTGTAGTCCCGTTTTCTTAAAAACAAACAAACAAACAAACAAACAAACAAACAAACAAACAAACAAACAAACAAACAAACAAACAAACAAACAAACAAACAAACAAACAAACAAACAAACAAACCCTGTTTTTCTCTTCTGACGGTCAGTCCATGCCTAATCGGCATTGACCTGACTGAAATTGACTTAAAAAAAAAAAAAAAAGAAGAAAGGGAGGAGAGCAGAATGACAGGATGCCAGGATCACCTGGATTAAAAAAGTGTATTCAGTGCTAGGAGGCTATGCCGGTCTCCGATGGGCATTCCCGCTGCGTGAAGTGCCTCGGGGACTCTCATGTCCCGGCAAAGTGCAGCCATTGCGCGAAACTGACAGCTCACGCTAGAAGGGATCGCGAGCTGAGGTGGAGAGTCCTTTTATTCAACAAGGCTCTCCAGCCTCCACAGATCTCCGAGCCGCGCTCTGCAGATGAACATCACACTGGACAAGAGATCCCCCATGGGATCCAGAAGACACCTGGCGGCAGAATCCGGGGACCTCTGGCTCTTCGCAGAGGTTCCCCGCAGACAAGTTGAGCAAGGGTTGCAGCTCCTTGGCCCCTTCTGTAGCCCGCCATAAGGACTCCGCTCCGGCACCCAAAGAGGGCTTGCGAGCGGAGTCGGTGCCGGCAACGGCTCTAACGGCCATTGCGGAGCCGGCAAGAGAAGCACCTGCACCGGGAGTTCCGGCGCATGCGCGGCTGGAGCCAGCTGTGTCGGCACCCGCAGCGCCTTCTCTAAGTGCCGTTCTGTGCTCCTCGGTGCCGGGCATATCGGCACCGGATGCAGCACCGCAGCAGGAGTCTGCCAGCCCAGCCCCCTGCTTTCACATCCCCGGCTGATCAAGCTGCACCGAGCCTTTACTCTGCGGACGTTCAAGTGGCAGAGGCTCCTTCACTGCCTGCTGTTCTGCCGCAAGCACCTCCTCAGCCTGCCTTCAATTCCTCAGTGCCTGCCTGGACCTGACTCACCTGCCTCATTCCATTCTGATACCCGTCGTCGTCGTCATCTTTACACACCTCCCAGAGAGCACGAGTGCTCTTCCTTTTCATCTCATCGCAGAAGGCA